GGTTGCTGCTGCTGTTACTGCTACTGCGGCTGCTGCTGCTGCTGCTGTTGCTGCTGCTGGGGTTGCTGCTCTTACTGCTGCTGCTGCAGCAGCAGCAGCAGCTGCAGCAGGCGTAGCAGCAGCAGCTGGCATTAGTTATTGAGTTTGAAAGAAGCAGCAGCAGCTCCTCTGCTGCTGCTGTTGCTGCTGGTGTTATAGACGTAGCAGCAGCAGGTGCAACTGGCTTTTCCTTTGCTGCAGTATCCACTGCTGCTGCTGCTGCTGCTGCTGCTGCGTGTGCAATATGCAGGGGAGCTCCTAGCTACCTGCGACAGCAGCGGGGAGATTCATGTGTACAGCCTCAGCACGAACAGCAGCAGCAGCAGCAGCAGCAAAACCAAAACAGCAGCAGCAAGAAAGCTCCGGCTTGCGTCTCCCCCACCAGGTGCTTCGCAGCAGCAGCAGCAGCAGCAGCAGCAGCAGCAAGGTGCGGGTGCAGTGAAGCCACAAGGTACACCAAATGCAGCTAAGACAGCAGCAAATCCGGCTGCTGCTGCTGCTGCAGCTGCAGCTGCTGCTGCATCCCAATCATCGCCCCCTCAAGGCAAGCTGAAGGGCAGCAAGGGAGCAGCAAAAGCAGCAGCAGCAGACGGCACCAAGCCATCTGCTGCTGCAGCAGCAGCAGCAGCAGCAGCAAAAGGAACAGCAAAGAAACCAGGTGTACAGACAGCTGCGAACCCGGGCTGCTGCCTCTGCCCCTTTCTGCGCCTCTCTCACCACCCTCCCCCTGAAAGAAGTTTCTTAAGCCAGCAGCAGCAGCAGCAGCAGCAGCAGCAGCAGCAGCAGGAGCAGCAGCAGGAGCAGGAAGAGCAAGAAGACTTTGCTGCTGCAGTTGGTGCTACGGTGTACGCGGAGCGGTGGGAGCTCGTTAAGACACTCAGAACCCCCCAATCGTCTCTTCCTCAGGTCAGCTGCTGCTGCTGCTGCTGCTGCTGCTGCTGCTGCTGGTGTTCGTGCTGCTGTCCTGGCTGCTGCTCCCTCTGTGTTTGCTGCTGCTGCTTTTGCTGCTGCTGCTATTGCCTCTGTTGCTGCTTCTGTGGCACTCACCGAGGAATGGTACCCCACGCAGCAGCAGCAGCAGCAGCAGCAGCAGGAGAGAGAGAGGCAGCAGGAGCAGCAACAGCAGCAGCAGCAGCAGCAGCAGCTGAGTGTTTCGGTGTTGACGTTCAGGTGTTTGACTTTGTGTGGAGCTCTGACAAAAGGTTTATCGTTGCTGCTGGGGCTAGGGGGAGGTATGCTACTGCTGCTGCTGCTGCTGCTACTGCTGCTGCTGCTGCTACTGCTGCTGCTGCTGCTGCTGCTGCT